GGTAGACGTACGTTACGTAACTAATACTCTACTTAGTTACGTAACGAAACGTAACGTACTATAGCGACTATATATATATATATATATATATATATATATATATAGTGTAAAGATACTATTATTGATTTCTCGCAAGCTCTAGCCCATTGTAAGTACACCTACAGAAGTCAAGCATACATCTGATTGAAGTAGTATCTTCGAATGGCAGACTTGGTATCACCACTTGAAGACCCAAAACAGATATGACTGGCTCAACGCGATAGCTTACGTCCAGCATACAGAACACACATAAATATGATCACATAAATATGATAAAATAAAATACATATACGTGCACATCAATCCTCTAGTTGATATGTACGTGCCAATCGGTTTGCACAATATGATCAAAACATACACATACACATACAATTTCTAGATCGTAACTACATAAAAATCGTTCTAAGCACTATAAAATATGCACTGTACCGCATACCATACTAATACACCGCCGAAGAAGGTCACCACAGTAAAGTACAGGAAGTGCAGCCTATAATAATCCCAAAAGAATACATGTCGGATGAGCCAAACTTTCACGTCCAGATAAGCAGCCCGCAGGGTTCGAGCTCGCCGATTCATCCCGTTGAATACGTATATCTACATATGTATATTTACATATATATATATGTGTGTGTGAGTATGTGTATGTGTGCACTAAATTATATATGCATCCTTCGAGTGTTCAATGAGGTGGGCTTGCAAAGGGCAGCTGACCTCGACCACTTTCAAGACAGCCTCATACCCTGCACCAACTCTATATAAATGCTATAGATAATGCTACTAATGCAAATAAACTTTAATACATATGTACACGCTATACATACACGCGCGATAACAAGCAAGGGCTAATTATGTGCTGTATTCAGCTGCTGCTGGTAGTAGGCCTGGTAAGTGGTAAACGACACTGATAAAGATTACCATATTTATCAGAACCCTAGAGGACTAATAGTATTAACCCAGGACCCAAACCCTAGAACCAAGATCCCTGGAGCAAAAAGATTTGGAACAAAATGCCATAGCCTCCTAAAATATTCACAAAAAGCCCCTGAAAAAGCCCTGGGACAAAAAAAACCCCTGGAACAATAGTATAAACAATAGACTATTTTCAACGGGACCGGAGTGCCAACTGCCAAAGAAATTTGATCTGTTATTTACATTCGGCATAGCGAGTCCCATTTTGGTTTTCGAGGTGCGAGGCGGCCCTATACAAACCCAGTAAGGTCATATGCAGGTCACAAGTGATTCAAAACCCTACTTCTCGGCAAATAGCTCAACCAATCATTCAGAAAATTCATCCATGCTCTAGATTCCTTTATTTTTTTTTCATACACCGGACTTTTCAGTTTTCTTTACAAGAAATATTTATATGTATCTCTCTCTAGTATGTATCTCACTTCCACGACCAATGATGCCACCCAGGGGACTTTTTCCCATATACAACTACATGCGTTCGATAGTGGAGATGAGTTCATACTTCAGCCTGACCTTAACTACCAATTATAGGCAGTAGAGTGTATCTTGAAAGTAGTCTCGCCAGCCTGATTGCAATTACCGTTCAAAACATATAATACACACTTTGAAAGCTAGGAGATTACAACTGTTAAAAAAATACATTCCGTTCCGGTACCTCCGCGTCAACGGATAGGCGTGTTTATATACTTTTAATTAACACCGTATGCAAATGCCAGATGATGGGTCATGCCGATCAGTGTTTTATTTGTGAAGCAGAATGGATGATGACATGCCCCTGCGGGCAAGAAGCCTACTGTAGCACCGCTTGCCAGGTATGTGACTCTGTAATGTCTGCATATTTAACATATGTTTGTGTTTATTATGATACGGTCGTGTATATAAACATATATAAAGGTTGGTGGTGTATATCGCTACTTTAACATTTAATTTTTATCAAATTGTTTCGTTACCAGTGGACTATTGGCCTCACATATATCTCGATGGTAGCACGTAACCGGCTTTCCACTTCCTGCAATTTCCCATCATATCTTGTAAATCTCCGTTTGGAATGTTTTTTATAAAGTAATGCATAAACAGACACACATACAAACACACACACATACAAACACACACACATACAAACACCCACACACACATATATATA